ATATGTGTTATACACGACGATAAAGATTGTTTATCTACATACTCGTGAAAAAAGTCCACTCGTGACTTTGTCACTCGTAAACTTAACCTTTTCACTCGCAGATAAACAATGTCTTTATCGTCTTGTATAATAAATAACTATTATTATACATGATATTTACTTAAACATGCATGTAAACACAGCATTGTTCTTCTAGATTGCAACGGTAAACGGGTAATGGTGAATTTATATTGGTGAAAAATAACCAGTAAGTCGGTGAAATGTGCGAGTTAACTTAGAGGAATTTTAAAGGAATTTAAAAGAATCTTTTGGTAAATCTGTAATATTTATATTAAAATAATTACCCGTTGTTTTATTTTATGATAAATTGTTCTAGGTAACATAATTCAAACCATAAAAAATACGAATAATACTAAAACTTTTATTACAAAGCTCAGATTAACACAGAACTTTACTGCAATGGTTTGGCAGCGTATAAAAACTTATTGTAATGAGTATAGAAGAATACTTGCCGTAAAAATAAAAAACGTTAAGCATCTTGTGTACTAATATGGTGCATTACAATTTTTTAAAAATTTATTTTAAAATTAAAAAGTGTCAAAAGTTATCAAATTCAATGATAATTATGTAAAATACTTGAAAAATATTTTGGGTGAGCGTTTCTGAATTGTTGTAATATCATTTATCTGATTGCGCGCGATTTATCTCGTGTTATTTATTTGGTGGTGCTTCCAAGGACTTTTTACTCTTTAGTCTTTATAGCCTGAAGGTAATTTGTGTTCCGGCCTTAGGACCTACAGCTTCAAACGAATGTTATCTGGCTTTCTATTTCAAAGTTTTATTGTTGTTAGTATACAGTTCGTCACTGTAATGCACTGAGAATTAAAGTTTAAACTTGGTAATAAAGGGCTCACACCATTAGAAATTTTAAATTCAAATGGGCTAAGTGCGATTCGTTTTCATTATTCAACGGTCAAGTGAGGATTATCCTTTTCGTCAATAAAATTTGATAGAATTTTGCATTTAACTTTGGTGCTTGCCTGATTTTTTAACTGATAACTTATTTACCAAAAGCACTTTTTTATTAAATAAGAAACATAAACAGAAGAATTATGAGGTGTTCACAGTTATTTCGAGAGGTTTTAGCACAAAATTCTACCTTCTGTTTCCATTTGAAGCCTACTAAAGCATTTATGCTGGTTGACTAGAGCCAAATTGTCGTTTATTTTCACATCGCGACGTTCTTCGTCTTTTATGTTTGTGTTCGTTTCTCATTTTTACTCTTGGGAAATGCGCCGAATTGGCTGTCCTCTTAAATGAAGCTTTGTCCGAAGTTAACCGAACGAAATTATATCTTCGTTTCCTTCACGTCATGATGACGCATCTCGGATTTCTTATCTTAATGGTTTTCACGCCACGAATAACAATTAAACTTTAGAGCTTCAAAAGCTTATTTTTCCATTCAATTCGGCAATATCCGAAATTTTTTTAAGAACTTTTAGTTCCAACCCATTTATTCTAAAAACTTCTCATTTTGCTTTGAAAGATTCGGCTTTGTCTACGTACTAATTATTTTTCTTGCAAAAACCTGGCTTCCTGTATCTCGGCGCAAACTGCAAAAAAGAGGAACGGCCGTTGTTTTGACACAGGAGGGATGATAAATTATTGTCTTATTTGGGGCAAAGTCCTTGTTAAAAGAGGCTAATTACTTTATTGTTTGAATGAACACTTCAAACGACGTTGCTAACTTTGTCCTCGCGTATAAATCTTGAACAAAATAAGTCGTTAGTCTTAATTCCTCGCAGCGGATGCATCTTATGAGACAATTAGCTGATTGCTCAAGTTCAACTAAGCATGCAGAACTTCGTGAAATATAAACGTTGTAGAAGATCGTTACTGTTACCACAATAAAAATAACGGGCTTAAAATAATACGTGATAGTCCAGATTGTCTTTTGGGCCATTACACGATAATCTGTGATCTCGTGGGTCATATTTTAGTGGCGAAGGATAGGAGTTATTATTATCTACCTCACCCAGTAAACATTATACTCAAAATACTAAAGATTCTTTCTGCACTCTATGTAGAAACAACAAATAAATATATTCACTTCTTTTTTGAAAAAAAAATTGTACCGGGTGGGGCATCGGTTACGCACACTTGATAAATCGCGACTTCAAATTAATTAAAATTGGCGATATTTCATATACCTAACTAATTATTGATAAGGTATAATTTGAGAGTTTTTCTATTTTTTTTGGTTAATAAATGATTCCGTAATAGTTTTGTGTGTTTTATGAATACTTTCTGTTAATTTACTATAAAGTTCTTACACTAAATAAATCTGTACCTGTCAGCGCATCAAACTTTGATATCACAATTATAAATTTTGACTTGGTTATCCAAATAATCGCTTTTTTTATTTAAACACAAACCAGACCCGTGATTTATGACAAAATGGTATAATTTGCCAACAAAAGAATCATTTACTGGTAGCCGATCGCTTTAAAGGGTCTTTTTGTTGTAAACCTTGGAATCTTACCCCAATTACAGTTCCCCATTGTCACCTAAATTTACGATGGCACAAGTAGCAGGTCACAAATAAAAATGATTTTCAAAGTTAAGATGGAAAATTGCGTTTAATTCAAAATCTAATTGTTTTTTTTTCTGATTTTGTAAACAATTGTAGGAAGTGAATCTGCGTAGGTCAGTAGAAAAACTAGTATTAAATTTTTTGGGAGAAAATTACTTTTTATTTTTTTTGGCTTTGTTTGTGGATGAAAAATTACCAAAAAATTAGAGAATGTACCTTACTAATGCCCAGATAAGTGTGAAAAAATTCAACAATTTTATTTAACTAGAAGTGGGGATTTTCTTTTTGGGCGTAACGGATGCCCCACCCGGTACTTGGAGGAATGTTTTTTATTTTGGCAGCAGGTCTGCGCTTACTCCCCAACCTTGACCTCCATATTTGATGACTGTAAATTCAGGATAAAACGCCTGTGTTTCAAAACAAATGATATTAAATACCTTTGAAGTAAATTAAAAGGTTAAAAGATTAATGTAAATAATAATTAACATGTTTGTTTTAAAACGCGTGATTTTATTTTTTGATTAGCGTAATCACAAAAACTGCTAAATAAAAATGATATTTTAGAAGTAATGTTCACTTGTTTAATGTTAAAACGAAAATGAAAAAGTATCAACTTCGACAGTAACTTTTGACTAATAGAGTATGCCGAAAGATATATCGTGTTTATAAGACAGTATTCAGTTTTCACTAATTTTTACGAAGGTCTAGCCGCAAACCATAATTTATAGACCTCAATAAAAGGAGGTAAACAGATTTTTGCAATGCTGGGCCAGGCCTGTTCTTCATATCTTTTTGTGTGATGGTTACAGTTTTATGTTGGGATGTTCATAAGCTTATTAAAGAATCAAACTCATAAAAGGTTCTAAATACGGTATATTTTTCGGTAGACTTTAACATTCTGTGTTTGAAAGTGTAAGTTACAAAAATGATTTGTGTTTAGCTAAAGCTCATTTGTTCGCCAAAAAACTCAAGGGCAGAACAAAGCCACAACTAAACGAATTAAAATTTAGATTAGGTAGGGTAATACAAAAACAAGAAAACAAATTAGTTTTTTTACCACGTCTTTTTGTATCAACAAGTTAAAGGTAACTTATTGATGAACTATTCAGTTGAACACATGTTATTATGCTGCAAGCTAATTTAATAAAAAATGTTAGTCGGCAACATTTTTTTATTAAAATTCTATTAATTGTGTTTTAGCGTGTAACTAACAAGCTTACATACTTGCTGACAAGCTTTGTAAACATGACCGCATTAATCAAATTTTTTCATTATTACTTTTAGTTGAAGGTACCCCCAGAGTTCATATGTTTCAAATTAAACGCCGTCATATATTACAGCATAAATTTTCAAATAGTAACAAAATAAGTATTTTGTTCGGCAATGTTTTATACAGGATGCGCCAGAACTTGCGCCCCAGAGAAAAATGCCATATAAGGTAAGATACCAGGAACATGGAAAAAATGTTAAAAAAAGTTTATCTATAAAAATTTCGAAGTTATGAGGGTTTAAAGTTTGTACTTTACACAAAGAAGCTGTATCCTAAATTGTAACTCTGTTCAATGTTATTTGTGGCTTTTATTGGCACAATTTTTGTCCCGTTACTAAATACATAATTGTAAAAAAACATATACAAAATCATCAGTATCATTAAATAGAAATAAAAAAATGTCAAATGTCAAAAAATAAATGTCAAAAATTTTTGACAGATAGAATTTTTTAAACATCTTTTCATGTTCCTGGTATCTTACCTTACTTGAAAATTTTCTCTGGGGCGCGAGTTCTGGCGCACCCTGTATATTAAAGTATACACCATAGTATAAAGTAAAGTAACCAGAAGACTTTTACTAAAGCGCTTTCATTTTTGTGACATCTATTTTTCGTAAAGTTAGATATTAACTTTGTTATATTAATTAAATTTTCTCACTTACTGACCCTTCCTTTTTCCTTGAGCAGTTTTCGTTGTTCTTATATTCTGTAATCTTATTGTTTTTTATACTTATGCTCTAAATGGTTTTCTTTCAGCGTCTCTTGTCTAAACTTTTTTGTATGAAATAAAAACAATGCTTGTTTAATTAAAAAAGGGAGTTATTTCTGTCACTTCGTTTATGTTTGACCACTTGTCCGACCCATAAACTTTCATGACCTGGATTATAAAATTTTAACGATCAAGCAAGCGTTGGATCCATAACACCATAACCTTAATGGTTCTTGAATGAAATATGGAAGTTTTGATATGATAACTTTGCAATTAACTCATTTAATTGATGAGCAACCAGATCGCTATCGAACTTGTTGAGCATAATCATTGAAAAATTTAAGGCATCTTTGATAGATGTTTGTAAAACGGAGGAAATATCCAGGCCCGAGAATGCAATTACTCATTCCACGCTTTATTGTGTTGCAGGAGTCAAGTCCTTTGGAGGTCCAGCTGGCGCCGACCGGACGTGAATTAGTGCAGGCCTTGAGAGGACTCCTGCTGCAAGCTCACTGGCATACTTTCACTCTGCTAGTCGATCCTGCTTCGTCGACGGCTTTGAGACGACCGGAGTTATGGACAACGCTAACTGCACAGCCGCTACATCCAACTCTGATCACTCTGTCGTCGCCACTAAGGGCCCAGTCGCTGTTTAGGTAAATAAACACGGGGACATCCGGATGTAATATATACAGACTGAACCAAAAGTAGCGCACAAAATTTATAATTTTTTGGATCTTTTTTTTTTCTAATTCGAACAGATCGATATTATTTTTGTAAATGATACATTTTTATCATACTGTTATTTATAAAGCATAATTATTAAGTAACGACGTTATCAGTATTTTTTTTATGGTAACCATCATTTTTGTTTAATGTTTTTGGAATAATACATACATATTTAAAAAAAATAAAAGCATGAACAGGGTGCTGCATTTTGGATATCCGAATAGGGAATCTCCGAAATTAAGGCTCTAGGGTACCGAATGAACTGTTCAGATTTGGTGTACTGTAAGTTGCATACTCTATTTACACTTTTATTCTGTGGCAGCTGTCAATCATCCGACCTTCTCTACCTGGTGCCTGGTCCCTTTAGTCATAAAATGGAAATAAAGTAAACAAACAGAATTTCACCATCGATGAGTTTCTCTTATTTCAGAGATTCAGATTCTAGCTCAGTAGAAACAAAAGTTCATTTTTCTCTTGATTTTGTACTTTGAAATAATTTTTTGACAATAATGTCACTTTGACAAATGAGTTTTCGCAAGTTAAATAAAAAAAAGTGTGGGAAAAACATAATTTTGATAAATAGCAACTCAAAGAAATAGCTTTAAGATAAAAAACAAAGTCATTTTTAACAAAAACTATCATTATTTATTAATAAATTTAAAAAAATGTATCTTTCATTTTACGCCAAAACTGCAAAAGAGAAACATTTTTCGCTTCACCTGAAACGAGCAAAATCAAGAGAAAAATGACTTTTTTTTTTTGGTTCATTATTAGTCATTATGCTCAGATAAACCAGGTGCTTATACCAACCCAGTTCCAGAAAATTTTGAAAAACAAGGTTTAGTGGTGGGTTTTGCTAAATTTTATGGTGGTGGTAGGGACTTACATATTGAAAACGTACAATTTTATAACTTGTTTACTTTTTGACTCTTTGCAGTTTGCTAGTGGCTCTCTTCCACCGCAGTGCTTTGAAATTTTTTTATCACTTGTTGTTGAAAACGTTGTATTGAAATTGTGGCTTTTATTGACAAAATTTTTGTACCTTTACTAAATAATTATGAAAAAACATATACAAGGTCATCAGTATTATTAAATAGACATAAAAAATGAAAAATGTCAAAAAATAAATGTCAAAAATTTTTGACAGATAGAATTTTTTAAACATTTTTTCAATACTCTGAGGACTACCCAATTACTCCCTTTCAAGGAAGTGCGCGATTTTTTAAACATTCTATATGTATTACCAAATAAATTCTTTTTAATTCTAATGGAATCAAGATATTTATAAGTTTAATGAAGTAGAAGAAAAATTTCCAGTACGATAAGATACCAGAAACATAAAAAAAATGTTTAAAAAATTCTATCTGTCAAAAAATTTTGACATTTGTTTTTTGACATTTGACATTTTTTTATGTCTGTTTAATAATACTGATGATTTTGTATATGTTTTTTTTTACAATTATTTAGTAAAGGTACAAAACTTTTGCCAATAAAAGCCACAAATAACATTAAACAGAGTTACAGTTTAGGAATACAGCTTCCTTGTTTCCGCTTCTAATAGCCTGTAGCAAAAAAACTTWGAAAATTATTTTTCCTACAGAAATAAATAGAGTCAAAGTGCAAAATTTAAACTCTCATAACTTTGAAATTTTTATAGATAGATTTTTTTTTAATTTTTTCCATGTTTGTGGTACCTTACCCTACATGGCATTTGTCTTTGAGACAGGAGTTCTGGCGCACTCTGTATGTGCATATCATGTAGAATGTGACTCCTTCAACTTTTAGAATCGCGATATCTCAGGAATGGTGATTCTTAGAAAAAAAGTATAAGGACCATTTTTGTAGATAATTTCAAGATCTATAATTTTTGTCTGGGCTACTTTTTTGATAAAACTTACCGTTTTCGAAAAAAATGTAAAAAACGTCAAATTTTGACCTTTGACCCCGAATAACTTTTTTAGCACACAYGGGATCGATGGGGACTTTTGACACTTTATTCCTAATAGTGTACCCTAGATCTCCACCAAAATTTAGCTCTGTCGGAATTTTAGTTATTTGAAATGTCTATTTTGACCGGACTATTATTTGTTTTACAAGTATTGAAAAGTGAATTTTTCATGTGAGTAGCATCAGTTTCAAAAAATCGCGTACACTTATTTTTTGATATATTGGATTGGCCTTAATCAATGACAATTGCATGACAAGTCAAAAATGTCAAGATTAACTGAAAACAAAAAAATAGTTATAATTTCATTTCATTTCATCACGAAGATCTTCCGAACGTAACCGAAGAGGCCGTTTCATGCATTTGGTCGTTTTAGAGACCGGTTTTTTATGCAAGTGCTTTGGGGTGGTTTCAGATGGATCAAAAAATCCAATAACAAATCATTTTCTTCTATTTTTGGTCCATTCGAAACCACCCTAAAGCATCTGCATAGAAATCAGAGCTTCTCCCATGATAGAATGCATGAAACGACCAATTCGGTTAAGTTCGGAAAATGTTCGTGATGAGCTCGGAAAGCAATTTTAACAATTTATTAAAAAAAAGTACTTGCTAAAAAACAATTTTATTTAATTAGAGGTCATTTTTAGATCATAATCTTCAATTAAAAAAAAATATCATGGTGGGTTGCCAGTTAAAATTTTTTTTCCAAAAACTCGAAAACTAAAAGCAATTTCGAAAAATGTTATTCTTGATAAATGGTCACATTTTAATTGTACTTTACGCTACACTAATTATTTTTTTTTCGTAAAGTGCTTAGTTTATGAAAAAAACGCTTGGTTCCATACTTTTTATTCACCTGGTATGTATATAGTACGTTTCAAAATGATTGACATCTCGGAAGGCGTTGAGACTGTAAACCAGACTTTAATTTTAGTTCCAAAAAAGTTACTAATGTGAACATTCTTTAGATCGCGATACGTCATAAAAATGACAATTCTATTTGAAAAAAAAAACATAAGTACAAAAGGCGAAGGTTGAGAATTGAATCAGAACAAAACAGAGAAATTTGGGGAATGATCGAAAGGAAGAACAGTATGTAAGGTACTGCAAGGAAGTAGAAGTGCATATAAAAAGAAAAACGTGCTGAGATATGTATAAAACGAGAATGTGAAATAGAAGAGAATAATGGCAAAATTCTGATGTGCACACAGAACAGTAAAGGATATACAAATTAGGAGAGTGTAAGTTTTGATTAGAACATGAAGAGAGGTGTAAAATGTATGGAAAGGAGAGTGCGACAGTTGGACGTTCACTAAATGAATGTGATATCCCTAATGAAGGGAAGCAAGATAAGCAAAAAACTAGCAGTGGAATTTAATGTTACAAATTTTCAAACATTATTTCTTTTTTATTGGAATTATTGGAATCTTTGAAAAATTCGTTATAACAATGCCAAACTGCTTCTCGTTCTTTTTGAGTGAGATGAGGTAAAGATTGTCCAGGCATTGTTGATCTCAAAATTTCGCTTAGTAAAAAAAATTATCCAGAAAAAGTCTTGACAAAGACAGGTTTTCTAATAAGAATATACGTGGAACAGAAGGGACTATAGGAGAGAAAAAGCAAAAAATTTGTTAAAAGCAACAATTGTCACAAGTTTTGAAATTTCAACCTCAGTGGGTGCAATCGTACAAAAATGAACAACTTAGAATTCTCATAGTACAAATGTTGCCACCTTAAATCTGAATTTCAATGACCAACCGACATGTCAATCATTTTGAAACGCAGTATACAATGGCGAGCATTAAATTTTAGTAGACAATGTCATTCCCTAATATACCCTCTTGTCAAAATTACACAGGAAAACTACTTTTTTTGACAAAAAGATGAAGTTTCAAAATGACATTACTGATACTCGTTTTCATATTATCATTTTAATGTGGCAACCATGCGAAAATTCAAACAATCCTACACACAATCTTCCCTAACAAAAATTTTTTTTGAAATAAAAGTGTACCCGATGTAGCAAAAAATAATTAAAATTAACAAGGTAATTAACATAGGGTAACAAACTTAAAATTTTTTGTCAAAATTGATGTGATTAAATTTGTTCTAAATGACATTAATGACACTTTTTGTGTGTAATCTGCCTTTAAATTAAATATGCATTTAGACTTTTACAACCTACTTGATGAATATTAAAATGAAAAAGATTATACCAAAATTTTATGCTCGCCATTGTACTTCAACTACACCACTTAAATGTCATGTTCAAGTGAATTTGTCAATTTGACATTGACAGTAACATTATTGTTATCTTTGAAAGTCTTTTTGGTATAAATCGCAAGTGTTTTTCGTTTATTGGATTATTTATTGCTTTTGTTCTGCGTTTCATTAGTTTCTTTTAATAATTCCACACGATTAAGTAACTTCCATGAAATCAGGGATAAATGCACTTGTGTTCGCAAAGTGTGCATTAACATGAACAAGAAAACTTTTCTCACAAGTAGAACGCATTGTTTTTTTAGAATCTTTATGAATTATTTATTATTATGATCATTTAATCATCATATTATTATAATCAAATAATCCTCCGTGTAGAGACAAACAAAGTCAAATTTTAAAATATCAAAACGTATTTAAACTAAATATGTATTAACTAAATTTTAAATATATCATCTCAATTGTGTAGACGCCTAAAAATAATAAAATAGTGTGTTATTTAACAAGATGTTTATTTTTCGTTTATGCTTTGATACTATTATTTATACTGCTAGGAAGCAAGTAAATTCATTTAAGTTCTGATTTGCCGACCCCCTATAGAAACTGCTCCTATGTCGATAAAACAACGTATCCTCGGCTTAATAAACATCTTTTACAGGATGTTTTCGCGGGCGTTGCTATGGCGTCGCCAAGGACATTGAGGGTCAGATCTTGGCCGGGAAGGATCAGTGATGAACCTCTTATTATCCTTGTTCCTAAAGC